GCATAACACCCAACAAGCTCGTCGTCCATCACTCTCCCACTGTGCTCTACTCCCCACTGCTACCAGCATTCTCTCACCCTCTCAAAGTGACTTATGCTCTCCATAACCTCTCTCTCTCTCTCTCTCTCTCTCGCACACACACACACACAATCTTTCATTGTGAACCATTTGCGGAAGCACGCTTCGCTGCGTTGCCCGGCCCGGTCCGGCCACTGGGGCGAACAAGGTGACCCCTGACGGCCCTTTAAAAGATGCCCAGCAACCAAACAAAAAAAAAAAAAACGAAAGAAAGATGCCCACTAGCATTATCGTTTGGTCAAGATGCCCGGCCACAAGCATAAATAATATCCTTAAAACTTCTGAGTTCTGACAAACTTTTTCCTCCTTTTTTTTTTTTTTTTTCTTACTGTCATTCATAATGACAGAGCTGGTAACCGTAATACCAAAGAGAAAAAAATCGTTACAAAAAAAAAAAAAAAAAAAAAAAAAAAAAAAAAAAAAAAAAAAAAAAAAAAAAAAAAAAAAACAAAAAAAAAAAAAAAAAAAAAAAAAAGAGAGGACGACGGCAGTTGTAACAGATTCTGATGTCAGTCCACAGACAATGAAAAGAAAAGAAAAAAGCCAAAAAAAAATCGGTCCTCTAGCGCAATGGCTGACAGAAACTATTGAAACGTAGACCTGTCGTCAAATCCAGATGGAAGAACATGCGACATGCGACACCCAAAACGAACGGCCGTTCATTATATCCGTACTATATGTACTTGGTGCAGTTTTTCAATCCAGATGTACAGCCAGATTATATCTGTACATAGTGCAGCTTTTAGTCCAGACAGAGCCAAACGACAGGACGTTCAATTCAGGCAAAGATGGTACCAAAACATAGTAGAAGAATTCAGAAGTACCCTGGGGGTCTCACTTTTTTTTTTTAACAGTACTGAAGGATATGCCTTTCTAGCATAGGCCTGCATGCTCTCTCTCTCTCTCTCTCTCTCTGTGTCTCCCCACCGGGGGTCACTTTCGCAATGACATCTTTCATCTTTCCTTTTTTAACCTGGACTACCAGAGTGGCCCGGGGTCACTTGCCCGGCCTGGCCAAAACAAATTAAAATACATATTTTCAATTTCTATTTTTCATTTTACATTTTGTGAAGAATTTCGATGTGACCCTGAGGCAACAGTTTATTTTTCTGCATAACATAGTTTTTTTCGGAATTTTTGGATCTTTTTGTTTTTTTGCTGGGACCCTCCCTGGTCGTTGCACGGGCTGGCCACCCGGGACCTGGGTGGCCCGGCTCGTAGCCTAGTTTTTAACATTTTTTTTCTCTTAAATCGACCTTCCACTACCTACCCACCACTACTCCTCAGGCTATACAGGGGACCCCTAAAAGCATAACTACCGCTCACGATGCAAAGAGGAATTGCATGTTCGCCCCTTGCAGTGGTGGTTTAGGGTTGTGCAGGGGTCCCCACAGTGTCAAAGGCCAGCCAACACTCTCGTGGCACACCTCCAGCAGCGTCCGAGGCCTCCCTCCAACCACCCACACACAATAACACCCACCCTCCATATCCACCCACCTGCACATTACCGTGGCTCGCTCCACTAATCAGCATTCAAAATGAACATCTACAGAGTAGTGGACCAGATACATTCGCGGCCAGACCCAATATTTTCAATGTACAAAGACCAGAAGAAGGGGGCCATTCTTACGGTACAGCAGTTTTATGAGGGACATCTGCGGCCCACCGTTCCCAGAACGTGCAGCCCACCGCCCCACCCCCCCACCCACCCCCCCAAAAAAAAACCCCGACATCCTGAGACACTTAGAATTCTCATGCGCTGCATTGAGGAACTAACACACACGTATATGGCCACTACAGACGACCACATGCATGCACCCACAGAACATACACAGGGCGGGGTTCGCCACGGCAGTGCACGGCTTCTGTTCATGTCATTCTGCAGTTTGAAGCGACTTGTGAAGACTTTTCGATTCAGCTGCGGAAGTAATTGCAGCCAGATACATGAAGCACTGGCTTTAAAATCGTTCAGATAAATCAGGGCGAGTGGGAAGGAGGTGGGGGGGGTACAAGGTCCACTCCGATTCCGAGAAAATAAATGGCATTGGAAACTAAATTTTGACGACTTAGGCTACCAGCCGGGCCACCCCGGTCACCTTTATTTGCCCGTGCAGCGCGGCCATAAAAGAAAATGTTATGCAGAAAAATAAACAGAACAACATTTGCCTCAGGGGCTCGTGACTTTTGTTCTGGAGGCAAGATTGGGATAGGACGTGCTGATTGTGTTTTGGGCTGCGGTGGAGATAGGTAGGTACGGTCAGTAGTGCCTTTGCTTATAACCGATTTGCCCGATACCGGGCCCCGGGGCTCGGACCCACTAGCCAAGTTTGACAGCTTGGGTGACGCGGTTTTTGTGTTTTTCGCAAAATAAATAATATCATTGTAAAATTGCAAAAGTCGTTCGTTGTTGTTGAAAGTGGATGAAAAAGTGTTTCTCTCACAAGCATGACCGGGACCGTCTGACAAGGATGACCGGGACCGGAAAGAAACGTACATAGTAGCAACCGGGACCGGAAAGAAACGTACATAGTCGTGCAAAACGGTGATTAAAAAAAATAAAAAATAAAAAATAAATGGTCCTATGTTTTTTTGCATCAAACCCCAATGAAACGGGATTCCTATGGAGCAGCCCGTTAGGGGCAGAGGCACCCTCTGTCAGTGCGAGGCACTCGAAGCTTTCTATTTATAGCAATGCGAAAGTCTCATTTGTGGCTTAGAAAATAGGAAACCGAACCGAAGTCACAAAATCGCCCCCCCCAGGGGCCAAGCCCCAATAGCAGCGTTGAGCTTACCTCAACGCCTGAATCTGGACGTGTTTGTGGAGACGTGCAGTTCAGGAAACTCGACACCATTTTCTGCACATGTCCGGAAAAGAGTCCTCATTCAGGCGTTGAGGTAGCTCAATGCTGTCAGTGGGACTTGGCCCCAGTTTAAAAACCATATAAATGCAACTTCGCACCCACTTCAATGCAGCAACGTAAAAACAAGCACAAAAAAAACAACAACAACAACAACAACAACAACAACAACAACAACAACAAAAACAAAAAATACTATCATTCCTATCATCCACTGCCGCATCGGCTGCTTTGCACCCCCGTACTCGAAATGTTAACGACCACGCAGATGAAATCGGATCGACGTCTGCTACTTGTCGCTTGAAGCCACACATGGTTGAAAACGCCACGAGGAAGTTAAAAAATAATTAAAAAAAGGGCTAGTGGGTCCTGGCCGCTGCTTCCCAGTTACATGAATACGATCTCCTCTTCTTGAAATAATAAAAAGAAGGGGGGAAAAAGGGAAAAAGAAAAGAAAAGAAAAAAACATATCTCCCAAATCGAAAATAAGAAATAAAATTGAAAAAACAATTGATTTTTAAAATTATATTTATTTTATTTCTTTTCGCCTAGTGGTCCCGGCTCACTCCGGTCGCCTATAATTTTTACCAAAAACAAAAACAATTGGCACTAGAAAAGTAGAAAAGCAATAACATAATACCATTTTCCCTCCCCCCTCCTTTCAAAAATAAATAAAAACAACAACACAATGAAACACATCACATAGAGACGCGCCATAACCGGCAAATATGCAGAAGAACAACAACAAAAAAAAAAAAGCATTGTGCAGGCCCGCGTGCTCCAGTTGTGTGAATGTCCGGTTCCCCCTCGCCCAGTTACTTCGTTCATGAATCAGGACAATAAACCTGTCCGAATACCTTTCTTAGCCTTCTGGCTAAGATCAAGTGTAGTATTTGTTCCCGACACTTTCATATCTGATCCGTGGCCCATTGGGCACAACAACAACAACAACAAAAAAAAAAAAGAAAAATACTGTCCCACATCTGGGAGGGAATAGCACTGGTAGTGTGCACAGGGACTGTTCCTTATAGTCACTGCTGGCCAGGAAGAAAACTATGTTATGCAGAAAACTTAACTGCACAACTTCCGTCTTACAGGGTCACATCCAAGTGGTCCCAGGGGCCAAGTCCCACTGGCAGCGTTGAGCTACCTCAATGCCTGAATCTGGACGCTTTTGCGGAGATGTGCAGAAATGGTGACCAGTTTCCTGAACTGCACGTCTCCACAAACACATCCAGATTCAGCCATTGAGCTACCTCAACGCTGCTAGTGGGACTTGGCCCCAGGGCACTCTCCTAGCCTAGCATACTTATGATAACTATCCCTTTTCAAAGTTTTTTTGAAAATTTTTCACTTCTTTTTGTTTGCTTTCTTCGTACGGCTATATATCGTCACAAACAGAACTGCCCGGTAAAACCGTAGGCAGAGAGAGAGAAGAGGACAACAAACGAGGGGCTGTGACAAACTGTTTCGTCGGAGTTTCACCGACTCATCAGGAGGCTGAAACCTCAACAGTCTGCAGAATCCCCTCACTGATTACACTGTAAATGATAATCTACCTTAACCAAAATCAAAGTAGACTATCACTCACCCACACCAGATGGAAAACTCTACAGACTGTCGGTTCACACCCCATCACAAGCAACAACCAAGCAAAACATCCACGAAACAAAGAAAGGTCTGTCACAGCCAAAAAATACACTCCAGACACGCCGCTGGCACTAGAGGCACAGCATGGCCGCTATGTTGTATGCCCAGACCTTTCCCTTTTTTTAAAAGGAAAACAATACACCACACTTCGGCCCGCGGGTATCAGCATGAAACCAGAACCACTTCGAAGGCCCCACCTCATTTTTTTATTATTTTTTTTACCTCTCGCCCCACGGACCCACGCCACGCCGGCCCTCCGAGTTTCGCTTGTGGCGACAAAAACTTTCTGCAAGGCGGCGCCCGTGTACTCGTGGTTTAAGGCGGCACGGCCTTGAGATATCGTCACATCGAACTGACCGGCCCTTGGTAATTCAGATCACTAGAATTCTAGTATTTCACTCGTCTTCTTCCACTGCAGTTCCGACTTGGGTCGGTATTTCAAAAAAAAAATTCAACAGTTCGGGTGTGTAAACAACCGCGCTAGGCCAGTCGGTGCCCCAAAAGCTTTCACAACGTCAAAATGAATAGGCTTTAGCTTTCAGTGTTCGCAATGATCATAACGAGTATTCAATCATGTTTCACGATCAACTCCAGGCACGAGGTCCGACAGGCGTCAGATTCTTTCTTTCTCGCCGACAATTTTCATAATCGACGATCAGGAATTAAAAACCTCGAAAGCTGCGACCTGGCCGTAGTGGTGTTCACAGCATTCAGAAAAGGCTACACAATTTACATCGGCCCGACCCGCCTCTCTCTCTCTCTCTCTCACACACACACACACACACACTCTCACACCAAAGTCGTCCGAATACAGCACAGTCTGATAAAAGTCGTCCTAATACAGCACAGTCTGACCAAGGGGAAAATCGCACACACACACACACACACACACACACACACACACACACACACACACACACACACACACTGTCACACACACTGTCACACACACACACACACACACTGTCACACACAGTTGCACACTCACACACTTTCAAAAAATGACAACAGTACAACCCAATCAAACACCACTGGCAAAGAGGTTTACACCTAGTTCGGCTCGACTACTCACCAAATTGGGAGAAGTAGGAAGTGTGTCTTTCCGCCGGACCTGGGAAGAAGATACCCTTGTCATTCATTTTCTACGTACGGCAACAACCCTCTTCCACCAAATAGAACGTGAACTTTGGTAAAGGTCATTTTAGCCGTATCTAGACTGAAAGTAGCCCCCATACAGCGATAATGACCATACGTACGTTCTAAACACGTGAGGAAAATGGTGGAGCACAATGCCTCTTCCCCGAAACCCACGGGACGAAGACAGCCTGACTGCATCACCTAGACGGATTTACAGCCAACCAGACACCTTGATCGCACAAAACCACCTCCCTCAATAAGAGAAATCCATCAGAACAGAGAAAATACCAACATTGCTTTCCGTCCTACGTCTACAAGTGTCCCTACAATCCTTATTACTTATTAGTGGAAGTCACCACACCCTGTTATAACCATCATCACCTCCCACAAATTGCAGCTATGAAGGAAGTCCATACACATTACCCTGTTCATCCACCAGATCAATAACATCACAAAATAGGACCACCCATCTCCATTCGCCCCCTCTCAACACAAATTTCCTGTCGGCAAATCTCTCACTCCGACACCGAAGCCTGGACTTCAATTACAGCCCACAGTTCATCCCCATCAGATCCACTTGGTCTAACTCAATTCCGCACCAGCCACCGTACCTTCGCTCCTCCCCACACCTCCTCCCCCCCAAAAAAAAACAAACTTCTCTCTCTCTCTCTCTCTCTC